AAATGGGCTTATAAATTCTTTCAAAGGAATTTTTAAAGACCTGAACTGACTTAACCCTTTCATTATTACTTTATGAGACACTTTATGGGTCCTAAAACAACCCACATCCTGGAAGTGGTTCAAACATCAGACAGGGCACTCATAGGAAGGCTTGTCTCTAAATAGACACTTCTGTCCATCAAAGATGAAGAACTCTGTCTTCTTCCCTTTTACACCTCATTTTCTTCATTTTTATTTACTATTATTTGGTTTAATTCTTTCCAAGTATTCAATATTCATTTTATGTTCTAAGCCCTTGAAGAGAGAGGAAAAAAAAAACCAACAAAACAACCCACACATGGTTCTAGAAATCACTGTTTCATTCAAACACAAACTTGGATCTAGAAACTCTACTTGAAAAAAAAAAATACTTAGATGCCTTTACTACTATTAATAGAGGCATTTCTGGAGGTCATTTTCCCTTTGGTTATGCCAGAGGCCACCAGAAGCCTCCTGCCACCCACTCCCTAGGTGAGGGCTCTAGCCCCAGCAGTTACTAAAACTGGGACTTAAAAGTCAAGTTCCAATTCTTGTGGCCTTTAACATACATGCAATTTGAAAACCCAGATTTTAGCATTTTTGTTCTGCGTAATAATTCTAGAGGTTTTTAGATGAAATGGGGATAATTCTAGGACAAAACCAAACCAAACCAAACCAAAAACAAAACAAACAAAACAAAAAACAAAAAGAAAAAACCAGCAAAAGCGGCCATCAGATTATACTATACTAGCTAATATTAGGAAGGAAATCAAGGCTGCCAGTTATTCAAGATGCTCACCTTTATGCTCTAAGACCAAGACAAAGAATTAGCTAAATTATTTCTATCCAGATTACAAAATTTCTTAGCAGCCAAAAAAGATTCTCTCTCATTATGCTGGATTCTACTTTATTGGGAAATAGATATATTAACCAAAAGAATTGGAAAAATTCCCCAATACAGACATTTTCTATCACAAACATACTTTTTCATAGCCCATAGTTACCTTAACTGTAAGATGTTTGAAGCTACCAGTTTTAGCACTTTGAATTATTTTTTTCGCACTCTGAATAGCTGCAGGGAGTTCAGCAGGGGTTGGGGGAACCAGCTCAACCTTGGCGTATTGCCAAAATGTGGCCAATCGAGGCTTCGAGTAAGTCACAGCAGCTGGAAAACAAAACATAACAAAACAAAAAACCCAGGATGAACTCACTAGAGATGGAAAGAAGCAGATGTGTGGGCTGGACACAAATATTTATTCATGTATCACATCCACTCACTGCTTGGACCGAATGTGCAGTGGGTGTGAAAAGTCAGAGCTGCTGCTCCCTGCTAACAAGAAGCTTTTAGAGATGCAGAACACCTGTGTCACAGGGCCACTCAACTGACAGGAAGCTCTAAGCAGTCAATTATGCTAGGACTCACAGTGGCCAGCTAGTATTTACTCACCTCTGAATGGCAAATCTAATTAACTGTAAAGTTACTGGTTCCTAATTTGAAACAAAGACAAAGCAATTTATTCATTTTTCTTTGTAGAAACATCGTACTTGAAGAGAAGGAGTCCAGAAGGGTAAGAAGATACGTAGAACAGCATCCTTTAATAGTAAGATTGAAGCTCATCACGATATTGGCTACAAGTCTAAATGGAATTATATCAGTTAGTATCCATTTCTGGTACCCTTAGCAATGTGTGCTGGATTAAATCTCTTTCACTAGAGCACAGTTGCACCCCCTTTCAAAAACTGCACTCATAATACAAATAAAATTTACATGTATTGGTAACAGCAATTGAAACTAGACTACACCGGGTGGCGGTGGAGCACACCTTTGATCTCAGCACTCGGGAGGCAGAGGCAAGGAGATCTCTGAGTTCAATGCCAGCCTGGTCTACAAAGTGAGTTCCAGGACAGCCATAGCTACACAGAAAAAACCCTGTCTTGAAAGATCAAAACCAATCAATCATCCAAACTCCTAAATCTGCTAGAAATTCCCTAGAATCATAAGCCAAAATTCCTTGATGTGTTCACTATTTCACATCAATTAATTCAGTAGGAGAAGTAATGACGAAATCAGCAGAGTGTGGAGATGTAGCTCAGTGGTAGAGCACTGTTTCTGGACTGAAGTTGTGGCAAAGAGAGACAGAGACACACAAATGGAGGAGAGAAACACATAAAGAAACTGCAAAGGCAGTCGGGCAGTGGTGCCACATGCCTTTCATAGCACTTTGGAGTCAGAGATAAATCTCTGAGTTCGAGGCCAGCCTGAACTACATAGTGAGTACCAGGACAGCCAGAGCTACACAGAGAAACCCTGTCTGGAAAAACAAAAAAACAGGGCTGAAGAGATGGCTCAGAGGTTAAGAGCACTGGCTGCTCTTCCAGAGGTCTTGAGTTCAATTCCCAGCACACACATGGTGGCTCATATCCATCTATAATGAGATATGGTGCCCTCTTCTGGCCTGCATAGATAAATGCAGACAGAACACTGTATACATAATAACAAATAAAAGAAAAACAAACAAACAAAAAGGAAACTGCAAGAGCAAGAAGTGCTCTTAACTACTGAGCCATCTCTATCATCATTTATTTATCTATACAGACTAACATGCAAATATAAGTATGTGTCTGAATATCTGTTGTGTTGGCTAATTTTGTGTCAACTTGACACAAGCTAGACAAGCTAGAGTCATTTGGTAAGAAGGAACCTCAATTAAGAAAATGCCCCTACCAGTTTGGCCGGTGGGGCATTTTCTTGATTGGTGATTGATGTGAGAAGGTCCAGCTCACTCAGGATGGTGCCACCCCTGGCTGGAGGTCTGGGTGCTGTAAAAAGGCAGTCTGAGTAGGGTGGTGGTGACAAATACCTTTAATTCTAGCACTTGGGAAGCAGAGTGAGTTCAAGGCCAGCCTGGTTGATAGAGTGAGTTCCAGGACAGCCAGAGCAACACAGAGGAAACCCTGCTTCAGAAACAAACAAACAAACAAACAAAAAACCAACCAAAAAACTCAAACAAAACAAGTAGGTTGAACAAGTCATGGGGAGCAAGCAGCAAACAGCACTCCTCCATGGTCTGTCTCTGAAGCTGGCTCTAGGTTCCTGCCCTGATTTCCCTGGATGATGGATTTCATGCTGTAAAGATGAAACACACCCTTTCCTCTCCAGCTGCTTTTGGCTATGGTGTTTATCACAGCAAATGAAACTGTTCACTGTCAACTTTAAAAATGGACTCTAGCAGCAAGGAAAAAACCCAGTACCTAGATGGTAATTTGTAATTTCATTGTTTAATAAAAGTAACTAGGGCTTCTTGGAGAAATGGCCAATTCTAAGGCTGGGCTGAGAAAATAAAAAGATTCATCATCATGTAGAACCAAAAAGACAAGGCATGTTAAGGGGCAGAGGTGCCAACTTAAAAGATCTACAGATGGCCATGGCTGGCACAATCTCAGCAATAAATGACACATAATTAGATATGAGAAGCATGGAATAAATTTAAATGAGCCAGTGCAATGTACAATTGAAAAAAAGAAATGGGAAAAAAATGGAGACAGATCTTTCTTACAGAATTCTACTTGATCTACATAGAAGATGGATCCATCCACCACTCTAACAGAAAAACCCTCCTGTTTTGGTTACTGGCTTCTAAAGAATGAGTATAGAGACAAAAGAAGACATAAGGCTGTTCACCACCATTATATCATTGTAAAATAACATTCTTTTTTGGGGGGGAGGGGGTAAATGTAGGAGGTGGACTTGCTGAGAAGAGGTCTAGGAGAGGGAGGGGGAATGGTGTGCGCATGAAAAGGACTAAAATTCATTATATAAATGTATGAAACTGTCAAAAATAAAAACAGGCAGAAGTGAAAACATTAGGTTAGCAGTGGAAGATCTTATTAGATCAGGATATGGGTATGGGCTAGGTAGTGGTATTTCATGTCTTTAATTCCAGCACTTGGGAAGAAGAGGCAGGAGGATGGATCTGCGTTCGAGGTCAGCCTGGTCTACAAAGCCAGTTCCAGGATAGCCAACCTACATAGGGAAACCCTGTCTCGAAAAACCAAAACAAACAAACAAAAAAAAAACCAAAAAAAGAGATTCTTCTCAAAATCCCTATTTCCAGACTAATCAGCAGAGAAACTCAAGATGACCAGTTTGGGGAACATTCTTCAGGATATCTAGACAGATACCTCAAAGTTGCTGAATTTTCAAAGATTAGACCTAAGAAAGGGGAGACTGGAGAGAATGACAACTAATTGTAAGATAATACCCCGAACTGGAACCTAGAAGTGAAAGACATTAATGGAAAAACTGGTGAAACCCAAATAAGATCCCCAGGGGAGAGAAACCAGATGCTGACCTTCCTGGGGAGATCTGATGATAAAGCTACAAACCTTGGGGAACGGGAGATTAGTCACATTTAATACAGCAGCCTACGCTGTAGAGCAAAATCCACCTGATATTCTGGCCCCGTCAGAGCCCCACATCAGTACTTCTGGAGAACAAATTACCTTTCAATTACTCACAATAGTAGAAAGAGGTATGTGTTGTATGACAAAAGATAACATTGGTAATGGGTCTTATTTTTGATTTTTATCAGTAAAACCAGTTTTAAATTCTTGAATACAAGCTACCTAAATGATGCGAAAATCATACTGTTAGGAAAAAAACTTCCATATGAAATATTAAAAATCGCACCTTAAACCACCAAAGTCCAAGCGTCAAGCCTTCTGAGTGTATTGATGTAAAAATCCTAACGGTTTGCAACAGATAGTGTGACAATCTTAGTAAAGGGAAAGCTGAAAACAAGAAATGCTTTGGGAAAATGTGGAAAACGGCTTACTAGCCCACTAGTTAGTGTTCTGTAGGAGGGAAGCCAGTATTTAGAGAGTCTGGTACTCTACGGTATTCAATAGCTCATTGTTGTTTGGCTGCTGCTGAAGGGGAGGAAGAAACAAATTACTAAGCGTCCAAACACAGCAAAATAAGCTCAGAAGCACGTTTTTAAAATTCGCTTTCTATTCATATTTTATCTGAACATTTAGAAATTTAGCTATTTGAAAAATCTGATCTTCAACCACGTGTAGTACAATATAGAAGAGAGAAAAAAAAGTAAATTTTACCTCCCGCTTCAGAAATACAACGAATAATCTGCTGCTCAGAAGAGAACGGTACTGACAGAATATATTACTCAGGCGTGTGACTATTCAGTGTTCATCAGCGATACGGCGGTCTACCAGGCTTTCCAAACACAGCAAGCCCACGGAAGCCAAGCCACCATGACAAAGACGACTGCCGACAGGCACCGCTATCTATGCGGACTGGGGCAGGGACATTGATCCCTGCCTTCCAACTTCCCTTCGCCGGACTCAGGCTTCTCTAGGCTCTGACCCAGGCGGTAAGCAAACACAACTTTCAAAGGTCTTACCGGTCTTGAAAATTTTTTGATGATTTCCAGATGCTTCGCCAGACCACCTAAGGAGGCCTGACGTGCGACTTTTCCCTGTTTCCGCCCTCCCCTCCCCAGGTCTCCAGGGCACGGTAAGGGGGCCTCATGGCGTTCGTGGCGGAGGGAAGCCAGGCTTCTTCACACGACCCTCTTCACGGGAGCGGTTAGGGCCCGAAGAAGCCGGGAGCAGGCCGGGCGAGGCTGCAGCCTTACGGCTGCCTCCGGACGGCCCTGTCGACGCCCGCGGGCCCCTGGGTGCCCACGGCACACTCCTCCCCCGCCCCCCGCGAGCCTCCCCCAGGCCGCGCTCACCGGATACGAGCCCCGGGGCCTTCTCCGCGAAGTTACGGAGGAACTTGGCCATGGTCTAGGGTGGAAGGTCCGTCTCCTCGAACCGCCGGCTGAATGTCACCCTCGGAAGGACCCGTGGCAGGCCCCCTACCCCACTTCCAAGGTCAGGCTGCCCCTCTCTGTGCCTGTTCAAAATATATAGGCATCCCTCCTGTGTTTGTGGAATCTAATTAGCCAGTTAATTTTATTCAGCACAAATAAAATGTAGGTATGAATAGATGAGGCAAAAGAACATATAGCGAATAATGACTTTTCTCGGGAAATAGGCATTGCTTGGGGCAGCCATTCATGGCGGCCCGGAAGACAGTTGAGGTGAGGAAATGCGCATGCGTTGTTGATTTTCTTAGCTTGATCTCTACTTTGCTTGCGGCAGTTTCGTAGTTTTTCAGAGAACGTGGAAATTGAAGCTGGAGGGCGTCGTGAGATGCTTGTGGGCTGATATGTTTGTTTTAGAGACATAGGTCTAAGGCTGAAAAGGAGCTTTAAGGGGCCATGTAGGCGTCACATAACCCAAGTCACCAGACTCACCCAACCAATGAACCACTTCTTTAATTGGCTTCCCCCACCCCTCTGTGTAGCTTTGTGCCTGTCCTGGAGCTTGCTCTGTAGACCAGGGTGGCCTCGAACGCCCAGAGATCCTCCTGCCTCTGCCTCCCGAGTGCTAGGATTAAAGGCATGGCCACCACTGCCTGGCTAATTGACCTTTTATAGTCCTATTTTCCTCCGCAGCCAGTATCAAAATTGGAATCCAACCACGGTTTTCCAAACAAGCCACATGGAGCTATGCGGACAGGAGGAAGAAGGTCATAAGTACTGAGGGTGCACAGTATGCCGTGCAGTTTGTAATGCAGTAAACGCTTTGAGTATTGTTCCCTTAAAGACAGAGATTCCTAAATGGTCATATAAGGCGTCTCAGAGTTGTAAGATAAAAACAGAAAGGAACATAAGATTAGGTAGGCATGGTGCTGATCTTGAAGACCTAGAGAGCCTTGATGTGTAAAAAGAAAAAAAACAAACACATTCCAAAGGGCTGGAACTTTGACATGACAGGAAAAAAAAAAGGTGTAGGAAAGTGACATTTTATTAGAACAAGAAAAGTTCTGGAGAAGCCTAAATGTTAGAAGTAAAACGGGATGAGACCGTTAGGTAGAAAGATCAGAAGTGAGATAAAGGAGTCAAGAGCATATCAATTAGAGGGACAAACTGTCTTAGATACTGATGTCAAATTAAGGCAAGAAAGATAATTTGGGTGGTGAAACCCATGTTATTTCAGCATACAGGAGTCTGGAGGATTGGGAGTTTCAGGCCAGTCTGGACTACAGGGTAAGACTATGTATTTTTGGGAAAGAAAAGGCAAGCTAATTATCAGTATGAATATCTGTGACATTAACTAGAAAGAATTCCAAAACCTCAGAAACCAGATTGCATCGACGAAGAAATATAGACGAGAATAGAAGTAAGTTAGACAACCCGAGGGGAATGTGGAACTCAGGATAAACTGAAGCTTGAGAAGGGGAATTGTCAAGAACTTCAAGACAGCAAAGAAGAGAGGAATTAGTTTGCAAGTGGTGGAACTTTTCCATGAATGGGAGATGGGAGAAAAGTTTCAAAGTGAGGAATCTGACGGATGCCACCTGAGTGTAAAAGGTAAACGGGAGGAGAGAGAATTCTAGGTGAGGGGCCAAGCTTTAGATAGAATACCTTGGACACTGAAGGGTCACTGGGCAGTAGCAGAACCCACAGCCAAGCTTTAGATAGAATACCTTAGACACTGAAGAGTCACTGGGCAGTAGCAGAACCCAGGTTTGTGTTGCAGCAATCTAAACATGCAACAGTTGCCTGTACTTTAGGTATCAGAGCAGAGGATAATATGAAATGAACCCAGGCTGAGATCCTGCATGTCACAGGTACAGAAGCAGGGGATGAGGACATGGTAGCAAATTATTAAAGGAGCTGGTGTTTAGGCTAGATAAAGTAAAGCCATAGGGTGCAATTTAGAAAAGAAAAAAAAAAAAGATTCCTTGAGACTCGTCTTCTGAGAACAGTCCCAGGGTCCCTCTAGAGGTCTATGGTGAGGTAGATTAGGCCAGCCAGGTCACACATATTTGCTAGTACCTTGCTTAGAGGGGGGTGGCAAAATCCGCTAGGTTTTCAGAGGGACTTCTGAAATGTCACTAGTTTTTTCTTTCTGTGGTGGTAGTATTGGGCTTGAATTTAGCAATGTCTATGTTAGGCAAGCTCTCTACCATTGAGCTACATCCCTTCTAAATTTTAATTTGAGCCAGGCAGTGGTGGAGCACCCCAGGCAGTGAGTTTGAGGCCAGCCTGGTCTACAGAGCAAGTTATAGGGTTGCCAGGGATACATAGAAAACTCTGTCCTGAAAAGCCAAAAGAATAAAAAATTAAGTTGGGCTGGCCTTGAACTTACTAGGTAGCCCTAGCAGGCCTTGTCCTCCATCCCTCCTACGAGGCATACACTATCACACTAGGCTGTTGCTAGCTTTTAATACTGTAATAAAGGGATAGCAAAGGTGGTAAGTCAGGTGCTCATTTATTAAATACAAGTTTTGAACAAACACCCCCAGGCAAGTTTGACAAGAAGTAACCTTCCTGGAATGTTTCAAATATAGTTATATTGATTGAATTTGATTTCAGTCAACTTTTTTTTTTGCTGTTTTGTTCTCCATTTTTCTGTCTGTAAGTTCTCTTCCAGTTTAGCAATTAGATCCTGTGCACTATTTCCTCACATGGCATGGTACAGCATCAGCCTGGCTTGTAAAGGTACCTAGCAGTCTTAGGCTTTGCCCAATGGCAGCTCAGCAACCACAATCAAAAAAAAAAAAAAGTAATGAAACTTGTGTAGAGTGTGGTAGTAACAGCAACTGGCACCATTAGACTACTTGTCAAGTTCCCTTCAGTTTTCACACACCCACAGAAAGCCATATTAAACAAACAAACAACTGCTCAAACCCTAAATAATTTTCCAAGTTTAGTATTAGCTTCTTGGTGAGTTAGGAGCAATGCCAGAGCTGACCGAAGTCTTCACTTTCTTTTTGTACTCCAGCAAAGTCATCACGTAAAACTCGGTATGTCAGGAAGTCTTAGGTTTACAGCTGCTGCTGAGTTCCAGACAAGACATCCCGTTACCTCTGCAAATGCATGTGTGCATCCTGTTGCACAGGACGGTAGTCTCCAGAGTTCCTTTTTCTGGATGTCTTTAAATGAGTTCACAGAAGGAAGAAGGCACAGAGGACACTTGGTTTCCTTACCAATAGTGGCCTTAAGCTACACACGTGCTTTTGTGATCAAAGGATTCAGCAGCATCAGTGGTGCACAGCCATTCATAGAAAAGTATCAGAAGAGCACAGAAACAAAACAGAACACAAACTCACCAAAAAAGGCTTACAATCTGAAGGTTCAGTTCAGAAGTAGAATACAGAAGTAGAATACAGAAGTAGAATACAGATAGACATAGAGGCAGCACAGAGGCGAGCAGCTGGAAAGCTGTTGGAACAGCTGTCTTCTGAGGTCTTGTATCCATTTCCATCCAGTTTTCACCTGCAGAACTCTGGCCTTTCCTCTTTTTCAAACAAAAACATCCTCCCACATTAGCTTTGGAAAAATAAATGCAGTAGGTAGAAGCTTATTTCAAATGCAGGTCATTCCCAGAAAGGGAAAGGAGAACAATACACAGAAAATGAAGTCCGTTTAAAGAAAAGCAATGCTGTAAACTGGGCACATGGAGTCTTAACAATCTGGCATTTTCGAATGTGTCCTAGGCTTCCCTGTTCAGACAAGCACGGCAACAGCTAATATTTACTTCTCAGCCAGAGTGAGAGGGTCTCTCTAATCAGAGGTTTGCCAGTTGACACCACCAGAAATAGACAAAGGACTGCTCATAGCTACTTGTGTTTGAATCCTGAAACACTGCTTCTGTATATGAAAGGTTGTGGCTAATAGTAACGTTCTTTAAAGGAAGCCACAATCCCATTTCCTTGTCCTTTACACCTCTGGGCTGATACTGATATAAAAACATCCCATACAGGACTGAGTCTCTCATGGCATCTTAAGCAAAATGATTAAAGAAGTGGGATCAAACCACTTATTAACTACCCAGAGCTAAGTGGGTATTTAAAATAACTTGTGGACAAGACTTTGCCCCAATCCCTATTTTGGTAATTGATAAACTAAGGCTAGATTAGAAGCAGCTCTTAGGAGCCATGCCACAGCCCAAACATTAGCTATATACATTTTATAGTCTTACAATATTACTTGACTACAATGAATATATGAGGAGACATTGCCACATACCACATACATTTTATCATGGAGGACACAATATAATGTGGTACTCAATTCATATGAGACCAACAGAAAAAGACACAGTATCTGTGTGTATAACACATACACACTGAGATGTACTGCATTAGCATCTTCATAGATACACTATTTATTGCCTATTTTACCCAGGCCTAGTTCTCGGGGCACAAAATAAAAAAGGGCACCAACAGTTTTTTACTTCTTCCCTTACTGGATGCTTCACTCACTACTGTCACTCTTTAAGACTGTGCAGTTAAGTTTCTGGTGGTGACAACCTC